GGCTATGTGGTATTGAATAATAGCTGTGTTTTGTCCACAGACTTCATTCGGCAGTATGTGATTTTGACAAAAAGTCAGACTCTTCAGCAAAATATATTGAATTTAAATCGCAGTTTCAAAATTCCGATGAAAATTTGAGTGATTACAATGAGTTTGATGATGCATTTGACTGTAATGATGAGTCATACAGCTCAACAGGCATTATGTTTATTGATGATTTACAAAATAACGTAAATATAGCATTAACAATTTAGAAGGTTGGAAAAGTGGTTCTTAAAAATGAAGTTTTACAAATGTATGTAAAATCTATGTTTCATAAAGAAATTAAGCTTATATTAGATATCAAAATGAGAATAGACTTGTTGCAATCCTAGAAAGACTCCTTAAAGTAAAAACATGTATAATAAAAGCAATGATCGATTTAAAAGAAGTTCTGAATATCTCCAAAGATGAATATGCGATTATGAATGGCATAACAATTTCTCTGCAACTGATAAAAGTTGGATAGAAAGACTTGGTAGAAGTAATGCTACTCTACTTGACACAGAAGGTGTAATTATATTCATCTTAGATAATTTAGCGGAGAAAAAAATTTATAGCTAATAAACTGCTTCAATCTGTGCAGCAGAGAATTGAAGAACGCAGAAATGCCAATTTAATTGGACTACTAAAATTTTTAAACAACCCAATTAGTTATAATCAGGAATCAAATATCAATTTAAACTGCTCTTACTGTCCAAGCATGCATTAAAAGCAACAGCAAAAATAATTTATACCAGGTTGTACATAGGGGATGCTAGCACTAGCTCATCAAATAATGAATTAGTTGAAGTAAGTCGTGATAATGAAACATGGTTTCTGACCTTTCTATACCTCAACCTGTTGCTCCAAATTTATTAGGCAAAAGTATTTTGACACTTGAATAAAAATCGGATGCGACTATTTGTAATGTCAAACACAGAGAAAAAGCAGCTCTAGAAAACATTAGCAATTTAATAGACCTCACAAAAGAAAACTTTTTGAGGCAATTGGAAAGCGTAGCGAAAGTTAGTTTTGCTGCAGGATTTTGCATTGTTTTGGAATTTTCCATTGAATTGCTTATGATAACTCTTTAACTCCGTAACACAAAACTTGATGAGCAAGACCACTGCGCAAAGCCAAACAAAACCGCTATTAAGCCAAACAAAACTGGTGCATAGGTGCACCTTATATATGCAAATTGCTTACCTAATAATAATATATTATCTTTATATACATACATTAAACCCTATCATTAGCTTTAATTGGCCTTTGCCATCAGTATATTATTATTTTACACTATAAAAAATCTGAAGATGTAGGGGGGGGGGGAGTTACCTCTTCTCTTTGTCCCTTTATATGCCTATGACATAAATATGTCCCAAACTACTTGTTAAATAACACTATATTGAAGTTTAAATTAAAAAGTTTCCTTCATTACAACATTTAAGTTTTTTATGTGTCTCTTCATATGCTATTGGCTTTGCACCGCAATTTAAATGGTTACTTATACACTATGTGGCGTTTGATAAACAATATTATAACAAAACAAGTTGTTTTAGTATTCTCATAAAGTATGTAAGCTTTCTATTCACCCAATTGAAAGTGAACAAAAACCTATAGAGACTTTACCATATGACCAGACAGAACATAACAATGCACAACGCCATCTTACCTGTAGATGCTATGCAGTAGTAGTGTAGTGGTAAAGTACTTGCCTCATGAGCAAGAAGTTCCGAATTTTATCCCTACCACGTCACAGGTAGAACCGCGCTCAACTTATTTCTCTGGACAGCAGCCTTGTTCATTAAGGTTTGTGTTTCAGAGTTATAGAGTTGAGAGAGGGTTGTAACCACAGCTAATCTCTACTGTAGTGGCCTTCATGGTCTTGGGGAGGTGAATTAAAATAAAAAATAATAAAATAAAATATTTTCAGTCTCTAATATCACTAAACCAGCAATTTCAGCTATAATATCTTTTCAAAAATCTTGTTTGTCTTTTTCGTATATGATTCTCTATTTCTTATTTTACAAGACCACCTGTGTCTGTGTGACCATGATAATAGTGGAAAAAACAAGAACCATCACTAAAATGTTTGATAGGATAATTGCCAAATCAGGAATAACCTTGCTTAAGCAAAGAAATGAGTATTTAGTAGAGGATTAAGATTACGTTTCTAAATAAATATTCATGGAAGCCATCTCAAAATTGGAAAAAAAAAGACACATAAAAAGTGACAAACATGTTAACACGATTTTTGTCATGTCTTGTCATGAAAAGACATACAGAAAATAACAAACATGTTAACACCATGTTTGTTATGATTTGATGTCATGTTGTGTCATGAACAGACCCATAGAAAATGACAAACATGTGAGCACCATGTTTGGCATAACTTGATGTCATGTCGTATTGTGAAAAGACACAAAGAAAAATAAACATGCTAGTATGTTTACTTTTCTGCATAGTCTTTTCTTAAAAA